ACCCTTAATCTATGAATCTATGAATCTATGAATCTATGGTGGGTGAATTCTACATGCAGGCCCAAGCCTGGAGACTTGGGAGTTTGGATGCCTCAGCCATATGGCTGCAGGAGCAAGCTAGGGAGGAGTCCCCCACTTCTATAATGTTGGCATATAGCCAAAATCTTCCCACTGGAAGTGAAAGTGGGAGGCTAACTATATCTTACTTCAGTCAAGCTACTATCCCCAGCCAAGAAAGTGGTTTTCCTCTGCCAGTTGGAAAACCACCTAAGTGGCCATGGTATTTTCTGGCAGAACCCATCAGGCTTTAGAAGTCCCCATTTTTCTTGCTAGCAGTCTGTCTGAAAAATAGCACATTCTCTTTCTCTGTTGTTCTCTGCCTGTATCTCTCGCCCTCTTCCAAGACTCTGGGCAAACTCAAACATCCGATTAAGTGAATTCAAGTTTACAAAAGCTTGTTCTCTGTATATATCCTATTTAGTTAGTCCATAAGGTGCATATCTCCTTGCATTCTACCAAGCTTGTTTTCCCAACCAGCCTTTGCATTAAGTCTTTCCTTGACACAAGAACCAGCAGGGAGTCACAACAGCTGAGCCCAGAGTCTACTTGGAGCCATGCTGTGTCTTCATATGGAAATGAGTCCCTTGTTCTCTTGATGGCCCATTCCCCACTAATAGAGCCCCCTGGCAGCTTCCCACAGGTCTATCTCCTGACAAAGTTAACCCCTTCTTTCCCTGGTTACAAGCTAATCAGGGAAATCAAGGCAAACATTATTATAACATTATGACCTGGAGAAGAATGCATCACATTCCCAACCAGGCAGTTTGTTCAGTGAAAGGTATCAGCCACAAAAATCCTTGGCTCTCACATTATTATAATATTTACACACCTAAATCAGAAAGACTACAACAAAACCATAGTCTGTCTCAAGCATCAGCAAACCTTTCTCAAACCACAATAGCATGCTAGCCATTTTGAGATCTTGTCTTTGTCCCTGCCTGTTAGATTTTTTTTCCTGGAGGCTCATTTAGCTTTTACAGGTAGCAACAGATTCTGGACGCTCAAGGGCAGACTCAGAAGATGTGTTTTTTCACTCTTGAAAACAGTCAATCTTCTAAATAAAATCGAACTTATTAAGTAGTTCCTCTCCCACATTGAGTTTGCCAGCCCAGGCAAAAGTCTCTACCCTGTTTGGTTTGCGTGAGAGAAGACTGAGAAGGAAGCTTTCCAGGTCTGGCATTGTGCCTAGTGTTTGAAGTGCCTACTGGGAATAGCCTCTGAAGTAACTGTGTATATATTGTGTGTACTACCAAATGTACCTGAGAGAGGTTGGTGTATTCTAGGACTAAGAGCAGTAGTTTACTAGTACCTGGATTCATGATAGTCCCATGTGTCTTGCTGAGCTCCGTTAATGCTCTGACTGACAACATTTATATAGTTTACCACAGATGTCTAAGACCAGTTTAGTCCATCCCTCTGCTCTGAGGGAGGATCGAGAATACCTAGTGAAGTCATGACAGACGTTTAAAACCTCCAGGGACAGGGGTTCAATAACATTCCTTCAAAAACTTACCAAACCAAATGAAATGGCAACAGTCATTTTCAAAGGAGCCTAAAGGAGCTTGAAATACAAACACCTTTAAAATGCAATAGAATTTTGGTGCTTGACCTCCTCTTTTTCCCCTCTGAAAATCCCTGCTGGTGTCATCTGCTCAGCTAAAACATCCTTGGCTTGAACATGTTAACCTTGCCATTAGCTGAGCTACAATGTTAGGAGTGCAATAACAGGGAATTTGAACATAAAGTCCAGTGAAAATACAGCCTGAGGTTACAGTGGGAACATATTAACCCGGGATTTTTAACTACTGACAATAACACAAGTGTGGACGGGACTCAGTTTAGAAACAGGCATTTTGCCTACTTGTCAGAGCATGGCAGAATGATAATATTTCAAATCCTAGTGATTTTTGTCACAGATAGCAGTCAGCTCCAAGCATTCAAATGTCAGGAACCCAGATTTATGTGGTAAAAAGTCTTTTATTTGTAATCCAATCTCGCTAGTTATCTGCAGAGAGATACATTGACTTATTTTCCTTTGTTTCTTCTGTGTTTTTAATCTTTCAGAAGCACTTTGATGTGTATTTTTCAAAGTTTTTATTTCCCAGTAATTATGAGAAAATTACCTGTGGCGAGCGGCAGGGGGTATATAAAAATTTTAAGGAATATCATCAGATTTTATCAGGAAAAAATTGCAAAAGTTGGCAAAACTGCAAAATAGCTCATACTTTGTGTGTGCTTCTGATTATGTGAGAATCTCACTTTTTATTCATTTATTTTAAATAAAAGTCAAAACTCCTGTTTGTGGAGAAAGGTTTGCTGCTAGGAACCATAAAAGCTGAAAATACAGAAGACAAATAAAAGTAACCCTTTTTGATGGCCCAGTCATGATTGTTTTAGCATTTGGAGTTGCCAGTATTTTTTTTTAAACATACTGATTGAGCAAGCAGAGCTCAACCATTCTAAACACCACGTCTGGAGGTACAGCGAGCGTCCTCCACCCCAGGTTCTCACCCTGGGACTTCAGAAACTCCCAAATCCATTGGCAGGCATCCTACATGCAGGCCCAAGGCCGGAGGTCTTGGGATTCAGATACCCCCACTTGGAGTTCAGTATGACTCAGGTGCCCCCTTTGCCTTGATTCTTGCCTCTGCTACTGCACCAGTACTGAATGATACCTTCGAAGGCACACAGGCATTTCTGGAACGCAACCTGCCCTTGAACCATGTGCTCTTAGCAGAATCAATGTAACAAACACTCCTCCTCCTAACCTCCCACAATCCATTGCCAGGTTTAAATGACTCTTTTTACATTAGACTGCATCAGGGAGGCAAGATCAGTGAGGCAGAAGTCTTTGTATAACTTTAATTTGTAACAGGGAAAAACAAAGTCAGAGGAGAGCTAGCATCTTTTTCTGGGGTTGTTCAGTTTCTGCAATTTGCATTGTAACACTTCACAAGACAAACAGGAAAGAGCAGCTGCATCATTTCAGATCATGTAGGTAGGTCAAGCAGTTTGTATCAAATCATACGAATGAACACTCTGCTGCTAACCCAGCTTGTTGATATGAACTCTAAAGGCTGAAAATATAGGCAATTAAATACAAGCAAACCTCCTCAGTGCCTGAGCAGTGTTTGGCTTATCATTACTTTGCTTAATCTTTTCACGCTGCATTTTTCTCCTTTCCCCTCTGAATTTAGTTGAAATTTCTAATCTGGCCCCACATGAATCATCTCTTTTTCCTCTGGCTCCTCTGTGCCTTGTTCCTCTTCTTGCTGCTTCCTCTGACCCATTTGAACTCCACATTTGTGTCTTGGGTAGTCTTGCTCATCTGGTCATAGCTGTGTGGAGGCAGGGGGAGAAGGAGGAGGGGAGTGCTGGCTAGAGGAAGATGGCCCCCAGATTTTAATGGTCAAGTGAAGAACTCTTGAATGGCCACTGATCTCATCAGGAGTTTCTCACACAAACACCCTTTCTTCACAGGGACAGTCTTTTTTCCCCCTTTCACCGCCCCCCCCTTTTCTTTACTGGGACATCTCTCTCTCTCTCCTTTCCTTCAGAGGGAAGTCTCTCTCCCTCCCTCCCTCTCTCAAGGCTTCTGCTACATGTTACATACATTATGCAATTCACACAAGAAAAATTTGACCTAGGCCCACATGCCAAGAAGTAATTACCACAGGAGATGAAGGACTAGCTGGTAGGGCTGTGTGAAATGGCACCTTTCTGTTTTGACCAGCATTTTGAAGTTTCGACAGAATAGCATTTCGTTTCGAATTTTGTTTCAGTTCAAAACTGCTGTTCCGTTTCATTTTGTCAAAACAGTTTTGCTGTTTTGACGCTGTTTCAACATTTCACTCATAGGCTCGCTGTTTCGATGTTTCACCCATAGGCTATAATGGGGAAGTAGCTCAAAACAGGCTATAACTTTGTCATTTCTGGCCTGATTTGAATGAAACTTACACGAACGGTAGCCCCTTCTGAGGGCATGAAGTCTGCCAAGATTCATAGAAATAGGTGCAGGGGTTTTAGGGAAACTGCACCTCAAAGTCCTGAAAGCAAAAAACCTCATGTCACGTGTATGTGTTAAGCCACAGTGGGGTCAAAACTGCAGGCATGAAGCCTGCTGAGGCCATGAAGCCTGCTGAGTTTCAAGGAGATCAGTGCAGGGGTTTGGGGGAAACTGTACCTCAGGCTGTGGACAAGCAAAACTTGTGACATGGGTGACACTGTGTGTTAAGGTGCAGCGGGGTGAAAGCTTCAGGCCTGCTAGTCCCTGCTGAGGCCACGAAGCCTGCCAGCTGCCAAGGAGATCGGAGCAAGGATTTCAAGAAAACTGCACCTCAAGCTGCTGACAAGGAAACCTCGTGACATGGGTGGCACTGTGTGTGTGTTAAAATGCACTCTTACTCAACTGACACCAAGGCAGAAAGCAGGGCAGTTCAACAGTGCTGCCTTTTATGCAGTTTTTCCATCCCTCTCCCAGAGCACTGGGATTGGAAGGGACCTCAGGAATGGATAAGTCACAGGCCAGCTATACAGTCAATAATGAGAGCGCTCCTTTCCCCCCCCCTCCTGCTCCCTCCCTCTCTTCACTTTAGTTTCTGTTTCCTTGTTTTGACTTGCCTCATTTTGTTTCGAGGCTGTTTCAAGTTCTCTGTTTCATTTTGGTTTTGCTGTTTCAAGCTCAAAACAAGTTGAAAGAGCATCAAAATGAAACTGCTGGCGAAATTTCACACAGCCCTACTAGCTGGCTATAAGAAGAAAGTCTCTTGCTCTCGGTTCTTTGGGTAAACTTGGTATCTTTTATTAGACCAACTCAAGTTTTCGGGCACAAACACCCTTCATCAAGCTGAGGAAGTGTCTGCAGATGGAGCAGTAAAGCTTTTTTTCTTTTGCCTCTTGCCTATTTGACACATATGGGGAATGCAGGCTGTATGCCCACGGAGCAAGGGTTAGCCTGTTCACAGAGGGGGTATGTGACAAATAAAAGCCAAAGCAGGGCTGAGAGCAAAGGTCCAAAAGCAGGGCACAAAGGGGGACACCGAGCAGTGCGCACGGCCTCTTTGTCATCTTCAGTAACCTGGGCCAAGACCCACCAAGGAACGTAGTGGCCTCCTTCAGGCGGGTTGGCTACAGGAAAGATGCCAATTGATTCCCTGGGACAAATACTAACGCAAAGGGGACAGGAGTGGAGGTCAAGGCTTCATAACAAGAGTGCCACGGCGGCCAGCGACCCGTTCCAAGTGGGCACGGCCCAGCGAGACCCTCCCTGGAGTCTTCCAGTGCCTGATGCGCCCCGAGGCCACAAGTTCAGTGCCCGGTGGAGGGACGGGGCGGGCGTTTCCGAGGGGGAGGCAGCGGCGAGGCAGAGCGCAGTCGCCCCGCCCCGCCCCTGCCTTCTTCAGTTTCGATTCCCGGCGGCGGGCTGTGAGGGAGGAGGAGCCGGGTTGGGCCGGGTTCGGGGGTGGCTTCCGCTACACAGCCGAGCGGGGCGCGGCGCGGCACGGGCCGGGGCAGCCGCCAGCATGTCGGACCGCGACGTGTGGCCCTTCCTTACGAAGACCCTGTGCGCCCACGGGGGCAGCCTGGACCTGCGGGAGCTGCCCCAGCACGTGGAGCTGCCCGAGTCGCAGCTGGACCGGATCGTGCGGGACGCGGGGCCGGGCCGGTTCCTGCTGAAGCAGGCCGGCGGGACCTGCCAGGTGCTGGCCGTGACATCTGTGCGCCTCTGCGTCCGCAAGGAGTGCAAGGGCTGCGAGCGCCTGCACCTCTGCAAGCTGCACCTCATGGGCAGGTGCCGCGTGCGGTGAGTGCGGCCGGGCGGGTGGGGTGCCTCTGACTTCGCCCCCCCTGGGGGGCGGCCCCGGGCGGGGGCTTCCGGGGGAGCTGAGCTCTGCCGGGCCTTTCCGCTCCCCCTCGCCGGCCTCCTGTGGTGCCCCCGCGGCGGGGCCTGCCGAGACCTAGGGGCTCTGCTAGGGGCAGCCTGTGTTTGCTGATGTCTCCTAGCAGACTGAGCCAGGGGCGATGTCTTCTAGGGGATTGAGCCCAAAGGTGACAAATTCTAGGAGACCGAACCCAACAGGTGACATCCTCTGGGGGACTGAACCCAGGAGTGACATCTTCATGGGGACTGAGCTCAAGGGTGATGTCTTCTAGGGGATCAAGCCGCAGAGTAACATCTTTTAGGGGATTGAGCCCAATTGGTGACATCTTCTAGAAGACCGAACTCAAGGGATGACATCTTTTACGGAATCGAGCCCAAGAGGTAATGTCTTCTAGGGAATTGAACCCAAGGGTAACATCTTCATGGGGACAGAGCTCTAGTGCTGACATCTAGGGCAGTGTTTCTCAACCTGTGGGTTGCGACCCACAAGTGGATGGCAAGAATATATGAAAGGGTTGTGAACAAACTGGAAAAATGGATCAACAAACCTGAAAACTGAATTCTTCTTTAAAGGAGAGAAACATGGGTTTTCTCCTGCAGGCTGGCAGAGTCCCAGCCTGCGAGAGGCTGCTTGGGACACCCCCATCCCACACCCCACCACCCCCAGCCCTATGCACTGGGGGCTTGGGGGCAGGGGGTAGCAGGTCGGGAGTGAGGGGCACTGGGTCAGATCAGGCCATCGATGTTTACAAATGAGCCCTGTTACAAAAAATGTTGAGAACCACTGTTCTAGGGGATTGAGTCCAAAGGGTCACCATTTCTAGGGGATTGAGCCCAAGGGTTGACACCTAGGTGACCAAGCTGGCAAAGGTGCTAGATGGGCTTTCCAGTGCTGGATGCCCTTCCTTTGTCCAGCCTTGAATGTTTCTGCAGGGACACTTGAAGTGGTATCACACATCCCAGCACCTTGTGGTCACTGACACAAATGTTCTGGGGCCGAACATCCGACTACCCTATCCATGGTGTGAAAACCCCTGGGCTGTTCTGCTGGAGGCCAGCTGGTGCCCCAGGCACAGAGGGTCTTAGGGATGCCTGTGAGTAAAAAGGTAGAAAGCAGTCTACTAGATCAGACTCTAGGCCAGCATTTCTCAACCTGTGGGTCATGACCCAAAAGTAGGATGCAAGAATATATGAAAGGGTCATGAACAAACTTTAAAAATGGGTTCTCCTTTAAAGGAGAAAAATGTGGGAAACTGTGTGCTTTTCCCTTGCAGGCCAGCAGAGCTCTGGGCTGCAAGGGGATGCTTGTGACCACCCCTACCCAACACACTGCAGGGGTGGGGCCTGGAGGCAGCTGGTTGCGAGTGAGGGGCACTAGGTTGGGACTGGCCATTGATGTTTACAGATGGATCCTGGTACAAAAAAGGTTGAGAACCACTGGCCTAGGCCATCTGGGCCAAGAGCTTGTCTCTCAGCTGTACCCAGAAGTGAAAGCTGAGAGGAAGCACAGGAAGCTGGCAGAAGGCCAATGCCACATCATCTACCCCCACCCTAGGGCTCATTCTAAACTCTAGCGGCTAAATCGGTTTTATAGTTGCATGATGACACTCTTTTATTTCCCATTTTTTATCATTAAAATAGCAACATCAACTGAATAACTGATTTCTGGGTATTTCTTTCCAAAACAAAGTCCAGTCCTCTGGCTCCTGCTAAGTTTTTGACTTCATCTACATCCAGTAACAGAGTTCCACAGTGTAATTATAAATTACGTGGAAAGAAGCAATTTCTTTTGATCAGATTTTGACTTTGCCATTTTTCGGCTTGATTGAGTGTCCCCTTGTTCAGTTCTGCTGTGAGACGGAGAATAGAGTGTTCTGTACCTAATTTCATTATTTTATATATTCCTGTTCCTCTGATTTCTAATATAAGTAATCCCATTTCTTTTACCTTATGAGGGATTTCTTTATGCAAACTGTAAGGGAAATTACCCTAAGGGGATTTCTGTATGCAGGACTCTTTTAAACCTCTATAATACTACAGTATCATAGCTAAGAGGCAGGGGCCAGTACAGAACCTGCTATTTTACAGGAGGGAGTGCCTTACTGCTTTTAACTTTTTAGAACCTTATTAACATACATAAGTTTTCTGTAAATCATATTCATTGATAGCATTTTCCCCCTTCAAAAGACACATTTGTGTTTGGTCAATCTCTTGCCTTTATCTGTATGCATATTTGGTTCAGAATCCAGACAGGGAACCCTATGTTTTTTTCTTATCTTGAAAAATCTTAATGTCTTTCTTTAAATCTTTACTTAAATATTTTATTGAAAACTACCTGTTTCCTACATCCCTCCCCAGGCATGTTAAAATTGGGCTGTAATCTTTTTATCTAGGTTTTCTTTATGAAGGAAAACAATGCTCAAACCTTTCCAGATTAAAAATAAAAAGCACTTAAAGATTTTTAATGTGGATCATTCTGGGGATTGGTGGTGGTAGGAATCAGTCCCTTCCATCTTCTACAAATACAAATAAATGAGAGAATTACCCAGATTAATTCAGAGTTGAGATTGAAGGTACTTCAGTGAAATCCTGGTACAAAACCAAAGCAATGTTGCATACAGTTTACAAATAAAGAACAGGGCCAACATGCACGTTGCATACAACAGCATAAACATCCCTCCCCCACTACAAGCCAACCTGACCTTTATCACTTGCCCTAGTTTAATTTACTCCCTAACATTAGAAATAATAAAACATTCGAGGGTCCAAATAAATCATTAGAACATGATAAAGCCCCCAAGTGGTCTGTTTCCAGGTTGAAACTGTTGAAAAACAAGTTTCCAAGTTGATCTTGGCTTTTTTCATTTATGCTGCGAGTTTGACTTATGTTTATGTTGAGTAATTGCCTTCTTTTCAGTCTGGATTACTCTCTTTCAGCCTGGATCACAGAAAGCAGTGGAGGAGGTTGAAAGAGATTAGCAAATTTTTAACAGGGCTGGGATTAACAGCCCTTTTGAGTTGAAGTTTTTTAACATATTGTTTCTTGAGGCCCCAAAACTTTAACCTGATGTTCCTGCCCTGGTGAAGCATTGTAAGACTTTCTTGTGAATTCTAAGCTTAACTGAGGACTTGGAAGGGTTAACTTGAATTTGGTGACAATGGAATGTGATCTGATTCTTAACCCTAGGGATGGGAAGTGATGACATCCACTATAGGAAGCCTGCTCAGCTGAACAAAGAGCCTAGAAAGAACTCTTCTTGTGAATCTGAATACTATGTCAGATTATTTGAGTGGGTCTAATAAAAGATACCAGATTTACCCAAAGACCCTTGTCTGCCCATGTCCTTAGACCAACACGGCTACAACCTACACTCTTGAATGGTGACATTATTTTTCCTTCCCTGTCCTCACTTCACTTCATTCCTTCAACCATATTTCATGTGTAGGATAACTCGGCCAGGCTTGCACATCTACCCTGCCAGAAAGAGAAAACACTATGATACCCTGGCAGGGAAATTTTCTATATAAGAAGAATTGGCAAACCTATTTTTTCTGATTATTCCTTTTAAAGAAAATATACTGAGTGTCTATATACACCGTATGCAAAACTATGCTGTGGAGTTTTTTAAACGCTTTTTGTTTATTAGGTTCACAGCCTGTATTTTGTAACCTTATATTGAATTATTTCTATCCATAGATATTCACATGTTTTTACATTTTAATGCAGACCTACGTAACATATTGGTGAAGGTATGAAAATAATGGTTCCTGAATCTAGTTTCTTTTTTAGGCACTGCATCATTTTTCTTACAATGGCAAATTTAGCAATGACCTATTCTACAACAAATATTCAAATTCTTTTGGGTAAATTTCATTATTTGCTATTTTAGATCTAGAGTGGAATGTGACTCCATGAGCAAAACCTGTATAAATGTCACCACAGTGTGAAGCTCATTCTGTTCTTAATTAAACTGTGCAGATCTATTGACTTCACTGCCCTCAGTTACAGGCCTAGGAGTTTGTACTGGAAAGTCCTAATACAGGACCGGGGGCCTTCCTAAATTCTGTATGGCAGAGGTCTTACCTTATTTGCTCATAAAGCTGTGTACAAAACCAGAGTGCTGTGTTAATTTGGGATTAGGAGAAAAAATGCCAAAACAAAGTCTTGTACAGAAGAGGGGTTAGAATGATTAATCACAACATGAAGGAAAATATAATCAGAAGGTTCAACAGTCAGCCACAGCCTATAAAGGTAATCTCCAAAGCAGTGATTCATAACCAGAGTTCTGCCAGGTGCCACTCAATATTAGCACTATTTTGCATGCAAATACCTGCACTTGATTCACAAGAAATTTCAAATAGAAACCTGGAGTGTCAAAACCATTGTGATCTGTTGTTGTCTGAATTCTTTGCAACAGAAAGATTTGCTTTTATTTTTTGAAGTGAAAGTTAAGTGCTGGCATTTTCCAGGGGGCACTATGACTCTAACAAGGTATATTCTTGAGTCTGAAAAGGTTGAGAACCACTGCTCTAAAGACTAGCTAATTTGAGCAGTAACAGGAGAAGGTTTTTTCAGGAGTCAACAACCTACATTCTGTGGAGCTTTTGGACTCTGCCTGTGGTGGCTTTGGTTGCGTTTGGCAGCAGGGCTTTGTCGAAGCTGTGCCATAGTGGGTGGGGGAGCTTTGGTAGAGGGGGAGCTTTCCCTTTGCTGCACCAGTCAGGTAGCAGGGAGAAGCAGCACAAGTGGCTGGCTTCTAGTGCTTGCTCACTTTGAGGAGCTGGGTCTTTCTAGCCCCCGACCAGAAAATGTTTCAGACCCCAGTTTCTTTTCCCTTGTTGTTTTAACATGCCTCACTTTTGGGCTACAATTCATCACTTTTCAGAAGAGTGGGACTAATGATTAGCATTGGTCTAGTGTTTTCATTCTTGTTTAGATCTGGCTTGGTTCTTCTAGCCTTCCCAATTGTTTTGGTGTTTGTCAGTGTAAAGGCCTATTTTTACTCTGAGATAAAGAATGAAAAGGGCTGTATCATCCCAGTATTGTCCATCATTTCTCCTTCTCAGCTTTATGCAGGACTCTGCTGGGGATGTTCCATGTTTCCTCAGACACTTTCTCTAAATCTCTTGTCTGTCTTCCAAGGTCATCAAGGATAACAAGCTGTGTGACATATTCTGCTCCTTTTTCTATCTTTGTGTATATTTTTTGGCTTTTGACAAATTGTTGTCTGATAATTCACCACTGCTAGCCCAGGGTACTCAGACACTTCAGTAGAAGACCTTTAGCAAATACCTAAGAGAGATTTCTTCTTTTCTGCCTTCATCTGCCTTCATGTGGTTGCTTTTGTAAGCCCTGGCACACATTGAAAATCCAAGTATTTGATTTTCTGCTTGTTCTCTCCCAGGTATTGTAAGTACAGCCATGACATCACCACAGAAGAGAACCGAAAGGTTCTAAGGACCCATGATCTCTCTGGCCTCAATGAGAATGAGCTACGGGTCTTGCTCCTTCAAAACGATCCTTTTCTCCTCCCTGATGTAAGTCTTGTTGATTTCTTAAGTACAGCAAGGCTAATTAGTTAAGGTGTGGTGGAGGGCCAGGGAGATAAGGGGTTTAGACTGTAATAGCTCAGTAGGTCT